TAAGATGCATCCACTGGTCCAGTGAAGGCGAGAGAATGAGACTGGGAGGGGTAGGGACGGGAAGGGAATACGTGCTCTGAGCCTCCAGATGGTCGCCCTGCCTGACGCGAGACCTCCTTCCAACGCACGTTCTGTCCTTAAGAGTTGGATTCAGCGCCACCCCACCACCCAGCAAACTGCACAGATAAATAGTTCCTATCGGCCAAATCTTGAAAGCTGAGCGCTGACCCAGTGAAGCCCTTTGAAGAGTCAAAAGTTCATCACCTCGTTGGGACTCTTGACGCCAAACATTTGGAGCCAAACTTAAGCCAATCCCCTGAAACACAGATAAGCATATGCCCCTGTCATCATTTTCTTCAATTAATAATTATTGAGAGTGCATAGGAATCTCAGGGAGGTCTGAGGCAGAGTGAAAGGGAGAAAACTCCACAAAGACAGCCAGCATCGGAAAGGCAGGCTCGTCGCCAGCGAACCTTCCCTGGTCCTGACCTCTGAGAAGTGCTGTAGCTCTGTGTGGGTCTTTAAAGGCTACTCCTGGGCATGCCTTGCCTTCTGGACTGTAAGCTTCTTAGAGGCAGGGATGAGGGCTTGAGAGACGGTGCATGGCAGCTAAGAGCACAGGCTGGCGTTCCAACAGGATTCTACCACTTAACATCCTTGGACAAGTTACTTATCTGCCCTGTGCCTCAGTTTCCTCATCTGTGAAATGGGGGTAATAGCAGTGCCTACACGCAAAGGACTGCACTGAGGATTAACAGAGTTAATACACAGAAAGTGTGAACTGTGAATCAGCTCCTTATTTCCTTTAGGGCCAAGTTGGCCTAATGCTTCTCACACAGTAGATGTGCATTAAACGTCTGCAAGCAGTAGGACCTGTCCCCTGGAGTTGCGGGCAGGCAGTTTTCTCCCTCCTCATCACACCTGTCCTAACCTTCTTGTCTTTTCTGAAAGGTAGTGAGTCGCAGCCTCATTCTGGACCATTTAGGGAAATACAGACGGCCCATTGGAATAACTCAGGTTAAAAGGAAAAACAAACAAAAAAAACCTTAAATAATCCTCAGATTTTCTCTAATTATATTAAGACAGACTCCCCAATAACATATAACCAAATAATTTTCAGCCTTCCCCTTCACTTTGAGCCATGTAGTCATAGGATCTTTCTCTCCAGAGCCAAGGCTCACCAATTCTATGTTTTCTATAAAGTATAAATAAGAAGCCAAATTGTCCAGAAAGCTGTCGCTGGTAGCTGGATACACATGTACACGTACACACACGTACACACACACACATATCACATATAAGAGTCTACAATAAAGTTATGAAACACACCCATATTAATGTGATTTATCAAAGCACAGTAAATGAATTGCCACAAATGAACAATTGCTTGAGAGTCAAGTAGGTGGCACAATGTGATTTACGCCTATCGCAGGAGATGAATAAATCCACGGTGGAAAAGATCAAAGGCAATGCTGGAATTGTTAATATGTACAGAGCTTCGCTGAAAATCTTCTTAATAAAACTGTTTAGAGGAAAATAGAGGGATCATTTGTTTAAATGAAAAGAGGTACGGCATGCACTGAATTTCAAAAGCAGCATTCATTTTCATACGCATGCATTAGATTTAGCTAAAATTAGCTCAAGTTTCTATTTTTTTTAAGGTCTTGGAGAATAAAGGTTTCAACAAGATTTCATTGAGCTCAAGTTCAGCCCTGAGTTTCCAAGGTGCCTGAGCGTCTAGGAAGGACCCCCCCTTTCCCAACCCAATTATCTACTCATACATCATCCCAGGTCTTAAAACAGGAAACACAGAAAGCCTGCGCCACAAAAATGTTCCACCTCTGCTGCCTCCACTGCCTCTTACCTTCTCTCTACACGTTCCACCCCAGCTGTCATCGTGAAATATACTCATCCCTTCCTGCCTGTCAAACTTTCTGCCAGGCACAAGAACCCAAAGCCCAGTCTCCAAGATCAATTCTACGTCAACGGCTCCTCCGAATCTATCTCCAGACCAGACCTCTCAGCAATCTCACTCTCACACTCTCTACCGTCTGCCGAACTCCAGCAACTCAGACGTCCCCCAGAACCTGGGCTTCAACCAGAACAGCCTCATCAGTTACACAGTACGCACTTGCTCGTTATGTCCCAGCCACTGAAATGGGCATCCTCCCGCCCTACGCCTCCCTTCCCCCAGAAACACTAACCAGCCTTCAGAGTTCAACTCAAATGGCCCCTCCTTCTCAGTCCTCCCTCATCATCCTACTCAGCATCATTCTTCTGGATTCCTTCTGCGTTAGAACCTTCCCCAGTAAGCACGACCCACCCCATTCTGCTTTGCATTAGTTACTTCAGAGCATTTCTTCTTCCCCCTACTTGACCACGAAGACTAGAACCTCCTTCTGGCAGCTCTTACTCCCTCTGTGTGGTAGTATAAGAGACACACAGTGAATAAATGAACGGATCGTTTCTTTACATAGATAGTGCCTGTGAACACGGTAGGCCGTAACTTGCTAGACCTACACTGTGTTTATAAAATAACTAGAACCAGAAAGAACTGTCATCTAGGTTTTATTTTTTTAAAGAAACCTTAATGACTACAACAGAGTACAACATGAATGGTACCGTTTCCCTGCCCACATTTAGCCATCAATCGTGAGGGCTGTAAAAAGGCCATTATTTATGCAAAATGTTTAGATAATGCTTATGAGCCTCCTATAAATGCAATCATAGAAAATGTCAGCTGCTTAAAACTCAAGGTGACTCTGCACTACTTTGTCAGTAATACAAGTATTCATAAGACATTTAGACTTGCTTAATATGCTATAAAACCTGGATCTCTTCTCAGTAAGCTACACATATTGAACAAGAGACAGGACTTTCTGCTGCCTGTGTTTTACACAATAAAATTCTTGAGATATTCCTGTTTTAACATATGACCCTCTTTAAACCCCGTAGGTTAAAGAAAAAATTGCATGTGTACTAACCACATGTGCAATTAAACTACTTCCCCCAAAACTTAAATGTGACGATTCTCTGCCTAAAATGAGTAAGTACCCCTAAGAGAAATTAGTAGTGAGACATTGCACCCCTTTTGATTGAGCTGACACATGTAGACCTTAACAAGGCTTACCTCTGCTCATAGCTCTGGAGTTATTCTATTTCCTTTTAAAGAACGCCTCCCTAACCCACGGCCCATAAAATGTAAGGTACCCAGTTCTATATTTCACAAGGATATAATGTGGGTGGCAAATTCCTCCCTCTGCTGCCTCGCCGCCCCCCACAAAAAAAAAACTTGACTGACCACCCTTTCTGAGGCATAGTGTTTCAGTCATTCAGGGGTGTGTGTGTGTGTGTTTACTCAGAACACAAGTAACTTCATTTATGCTTGCAACTCGTCAGTTCATCCTACAACGATATTAAAACAACGTATATGCATCCTGTGTCGGTAAGAGAGGTAGAATAACACAAAATTCAGAAAAATAAATAAAAAGCTCATTGGCTCTGCAGAGCTGCAAATGTCTACAGTGTTGGTCCAAAGACCAAGGTACAGGGATATTTACTTATTCTTAGTCACATATGGTTAAGGAGCAACCATCACCAAACAAGAACATTACCGTCACCCTGTCGAGATCGGTTACAAGATCACAGCAATAGCCTATGTTCATGGACCATAAACCCTATACCAGGCGCTGTTATGCCCAGTGTACAAAATATTATGTCATTCCATACTCATAGCAGCCCTAGAGAAAGTTCTAATGTTATCTCCATCTTCATATGAAGAAACTGAGGCAGAGACAGCTTACAGGACTGCCCAAGGTCACAGTGGCAGCTACAGATTTTAAATCTAGATGGGCTGCGCCCTTAACTTACATACCATGGAATTCAGGTGGAACTTAAAAACTGGATCTTTGGTGCAGAGAGGGGTCTCTTTATTTAAAGAAATCTCATGAATCAGTTTTAAAATTAACATCTTGATAAAACAAGTATTCACCTCTTAAAAATCAACTGAAAATCCAGATTATTGTAGGTGAGATTAGGTGAAAGTAGCCTATACATCTCATCAAGTACGGAAAGAGAAAATGACTTGGGAAGAGCAACATGGAGACCACCGGATCCTGCCATTTTCAAACCCGTGGAACACCAGTATGATTCCAAGAGAACAATAAGGTTCATTTTGATTCAGTACATCTAGGGTGGAGTCCCAGTTCTATTTTTTTTTTAACCTCTCCGGGTGATTCTGGTGCCCAGCCAGGCTTGAGAACCTCTGAACTAGTCTATTTCCACAGCCTGGAGCAGGACTATTCCCAAGGCAAATAGAAAGAGGGGATCTATTTCTCAACCTCCTTCGTTGCGAATGAATACCAGTGTTCCTTCCCAAGCCCCGATTGCCCCAACTTTCAACTAACTTTCATTCCCTCCTGGTTCCATGTAAGCAGTATCCTCTTGCCTTCCCGTCAATAGAGAACCATGAGTCATCAACCCTGCATACACCCTGTGTCTGCATGACTCTCCGGGTCAGAAAAATTTACTGTACACGAAGAAATCAGGAAGTTGTAAAATCCAAACAGACACACAGAGAAATTCAAGATCCAACAAATGCTGGTTGCTACCGAACAAACAAGCCAGTGTCCCTTCACAAGGGTCACACTACAACAATAGCGTAAAACGTGGAAAACGTGACTTAAGATAACCATTTGGCAGCAAAACGTTCTCTCTGGCTTAAAGTAAAGGTGACAAAACAATCAAGCTGGAGCCCAACATAATCAACCATCATGAAGTCAAACGGAGACTACTTCATAAACCAAATAAACCAAGAAGAGAGATACTTTAACCCGAGGTTTAAAAAAAAACCTCTCTGGGCAATTTCTCAATTTCCCACACAACAGAGTTTGCAAAGACACTTAAACAGTCTACAAAGTGCTGAAGTATGGCCAGTATAGGCGATTTCCCAGGTCAGACCTTATCCTCAGATGGAAACGAGAGAGCAGCAAAACTCTCACCTGATGTGCAACGCACTTCTCTGCAGCGGCCGCGGAGGAGGAGACTGCCGGCCAGAGATCACAGACCAGTCTGCAGCTTGAAGGGACCACCCTGCTGACGGGCTGCTCGAGCTTCCTGCAATGGTCCAGGGGGTGCAGGAGAGGAAATCCAAAATGAAAAACAGAACAAATGGCTTTAAAAAATCATGCCCCCCTGAACACGTCCATGCACTGAAAGCTAAACTTTAAGAACGTCAAATCTTGCGTTGTTTTATGAGAATTACACAGTGACCAGCCAGCTCAAAAGGCAGGTCTGGTTTTATTTCAACAGGGCTCGGAGGGAGGCCAGCCCACAAAGAGGTCATCCCTTCAATCAGATTAAGAGCTTGGTCTCCCCATTTGAGCTACTGTGGTTCTCTTCTCTAATGATGCTAACCAATCACCTTATAAACACATGCTGGACTATCAGGTGAAAATGGGCATGGACTGAATAGTAATTGAGCCAAAGTCTAATTTTCATGAGGTATATATTACTATCAACATGCAACCTGAGGCACGATCATGAAACAGAGCACAGTTGTTAGCATACCAGTCTAATGGGATATTAAAAAGTGTTGAATACAGAAAAAAATTTTAAGTATGTATATACTCACTAGACTTTCCAGTAAACTTTAAATGGTTTAATTATTGAATGGAGGTCTACTTGATTTTCATCCTGCCACAAGCCCTTGCGTGTGGTTAAGTAAAAACTACCCACTGTATGGTGAATGAGTGAAAGTGTGAATGGATGAATGAAAGAGAATGAATGAATCTTCCATATACCTTTCCATCAGGGAGCCTGGTGCTTGTAGTAGTTTTTGTGAGGTAAAGACCTATGCATAGAAATGGAAGAAGTTGAGGACTTGATCTGCTAACGGAGTTTCCAGTCCTATCTAGTAAAATAATATTTTTAAATACTGGCAGTTCCCAACTGTCCACGTTAAATAGAATCAGTAGCACAGTGAGTATAAAATAATCCCCAAGCTAGTCATTGCTGGGCTGATTTTCAGTCTTTGATTACTGGAGCTGATCTGCATATTTGTTTAGGCTGGTTTTAAATTTAGTTTGGGTTTCCTAAGCCCACGCCAGGTAGCAGTAGGAAGGAGAAGGCCCAGGATTATACTGGGTGTCAGAAAGAAACTATTCTGGAGCTATGAATATGATCTCCAATGTGAATAATCTGTAAACAGGTAAGTGAGCCAATTATCCTTGGGTGCATGGCAACACATCTCAGTACTCAGGATTATTTTCATCCATACACACTATTTTTAAGAGCACAGCCCAGCTGGAAAGGAAAATAATTTCGCTTGCTTTCCAACACTTTTCAAAGTAATGAATAGTAGCCAAAGTATTCTTACTTCTAACCAATCCATTCACCAAGTATTTATTTAAGCATCAATTGCACGCTTGGGACTGATACGCAAAGGAAGATTTCCGGGACGGTATATACTGCTTTGGACATTTTCGTGTCTACAGAATCATACCGTACTTATTTTGAAACATGCTTTTTTCCCATTCAGCTTAGTGACCCTTTTCCTGCGTTAGTTAATATGCACGTACTCTGCTATTTTAAAGGATATGGGTTACAGGAATCAACTAGTTTGTTTATCCAAGGGAAAAATTACAGATAAAGAAAGAAAGACATTTTCTAGACCTTAGCTTCCCCACATGTAATTTTTAAGGGCAGCGAAAGAAGGAAGCTGTTCTTGACTATCACGTCTTTGAAGTCCTTAGAAGACACGATCCCTCCACTAAGAAGCTTGTTGAGTTACAAATACAAATGGTGGCCAAGTTAAACAGAAGCTCATAAAATTCTATTTACTCTTACACAGTACTTGTTTTAAGGGGGGTCGGGAAGCTTGATTTTATCTAGTCCCATCTCAAATGAAGCCTCAAAATACTTGATCATCATTTTCAAACAAGGTGCAGGTACCGTGGATTTGCAGAGCGCTTGCTCTATGAGCTAACAGTTGAGAGAGTGCTGGCTTGTATACTGACGTGGGCACACACAGTCCTATTTACGTATCACCTGGCAGATAAGATTTTATGGAGTCCAAATTACAGTCTCCTGCTATTCTGCTGAAGTGCAGAGAACAGTCAAACATGATGCAAATGCTGTAAAATATTAATTTACTCTCGCATTGGTATGCCTTACTTATTTCAAAAGTATTTGTGTCCTTATGCCAGAGTAATGAAAAGAGTTAATGTAACTTGCTGTGTTCCATCAGAGGGAGGAGACACAAGAATAAAAGCGAGACAGAGTGGATTCCTTGCAAAAACATACAAGCAATATACAAGAAAATAGCCCATGGACTATTTTATACAATATACTCGCTAAAAACGAAATACTTCATATTTAAAAAACACTGCAGTGCAGCATAACACAATACTATTAATAGTGGACGGTTAGTAAGAATTCCACTATTGTGGCCTAAATAACACTGATGTGACAGGCAGTAAAGAGGAGATATTATGTAAATAATACAAATACAAGAGATAATATAAATATTTTAAGGAGAGTAGGCAAAGCTAAGGGTATGGAAAATCTGCCATACACAGCACCAGAAAAAGTTTTTGTTTGAATGTTAGAAACATCAATGTTTACAGGTTAGCAGCTATGACAATTAACACTAAAAACTTCTGCTAAATAACTCACTCAAAATGTGTCAGTTACAGAGCTCCTAAGGAGGGGGAAGGAGAGTTCCTCTTAGCCTGACTCAAAATACCATAATCAGGGGAACCTCCGCCCCCTTAAGTCTCAAATTCTGATAACACTACAGTGAATTTTCTGAAAGGTAATTTTCATGTTTGGGATACAATTTTTGTTTGCGTTACAGCCGTTACCATCACATTTTCATTACTCCACAAATGGGATGCATTAAAAGTTATTAAAAAAAAAATCAATGAAACATTTCTGCTCACATCAGATATATCAATGACAATATAATGCTTGTTGCTTTTTTGCCTTTAATAGTTCTAAACATGTTTGAGCACATTTGAGATGGTAATATATAGCACAAATATGTGTCTAAAAACCAGCCTGAAATGTTCAGATTTATAAGGATTATGAAATATATCACTACACTGACAAAGATAAAAAATAAATTATGAAATAAGAAAAAGATTTCTAAAAACTTTCCACATATAAAGATTATTTAACTAAACCTTTTGTTTACTCCTGTAATTTTAAGCATTTATGTATTTTTAAAACCTTAATCCAATTACAACTCTTTCAGTCAACATTTTAAAATATTCTCTAAAATGAACACTAAGTATACTTATTATACCATCTCTTAAAAGAAATTTTGAATGAGTATTTTATTAAATGCAATTAAATGAAACTAAAATTTGAACAGCATAGTTGAGAACTACAAAATTCATTCTCCAAAAAAAGGCAATCTTGTGTGTAATGCCCTAGAACATAAATTATTATCACTATTGGGATTTCTATGATTTATTATTTTCAATGCTTTTCACAAAATAAGGACAGCCTGCTTCTGATAACTGCAGAAGTATAATCAGAACTCTGTTCTTTGAAGCAATTAAGCTGCACATATCAAAAAATATAAAAGCAATGGAAATCGAATCATCTATTTCCCCCATAAAAATAATATTCTGTCTGGCTGCACTATGTCATCTTATATATGCAAGTACTTAAGCTTTTCAGAGTTCAAACTATGTGTTACTTGCAGACAACTGTAGTTTAAGGAATTAACATTCACTCCTACTTTTACTAAATTTCAGGCTTTTAGTAAAAACATGTTTATTGACTAACTTCTAATAGGAGACAAAATAAGCTGGTGTTACAATGCATTAGTCATCAAAACCTGTTGTTCATGGTCGGTGCAAACAGAAAATCCACTTGACATTTCCGAATGGAAAAAAAATCAAGGCACATTAAACAAAAGGAATGAGAATCCTTAAACTCTGTAATGACAACAAAACCAGAAGTCACAGTAACATGCTTATTAACATTTTAATGCTCTCTTAAGGCTGACCTCTCCGGGGACTCCCAGACAACTGAGTTAGGTATGTTGAAAAGTTAAGGCCAACTACAGACATTTCACGTATGATCTGACGGCTAAAGAGTTGCTCGTGAATCTCTCTCCAAAAATAAAAGACAATTCAGAAGCCCTGAAGCTGGTTATAACATTTCTGATAGAGTACCACCTCTAGTTTACCAAACCCTCTTAAAACAAAATCCAGAGGGAAAGTACTGACTTTCACAGTTTCCAATCAAGTACATTTTTCATACTCACTTTAGCATGAATTTATTTGTACACTCAAAAATACATGTTCACGTCTGGCTGCAAGTAAAGTGAGTTTCAGTACGTTGTAAACTATAATCCAGGACCTCCAAGGTGTTGTACAAAACTTAAACTTCTGTGCTCTATTTTATAGCCTTGCCTCCACCCATCTATTTACCTCCTAGAAATAACAGCTCGTTTTAAACGCAGCAATGCTTGATCTGAGCAGGCCACAATCAAGTTACCAACTGCATAAACTCACCAAACAGCAGAAAGTCATAAACCCCCTGTGAGGAGCGCTGAGTAGCTCTCTCAATCCTACCCCGGAGAAATAAAACAAGGATTTACCAATTTAGCTATGGGGCTGTAAAACGGTAAACCCACTGACAGCGTCACAACTACAGCAAGACATTATTAGTCTTAATTATTTTTTCTTTCAAATATCAGAGTTATTAAAATACTCCCCTTTATTTGGATTGCCTGACAACACAGAGCTGCAGCAACCAAAGCTACTCGTCTTAACTTTTTCTTTTCCCCAACAGTATTGTTTTTCTTTCCTTAGCAGGCTTAGGTGGCCTCCTAATGCATAGAGCAGAATTCTCTAAATTATTAAATGCTCAGTAAATTATATCCCCAAATAGAACACAAGTTGTTTACTGTGCAAAAGCACCATACATTATCAGTCTACCAGCTATAGGCCTGTATCATTTCTTACCTGAGACAAAAACCTTTTAACTTACTACCACACAGGTAAGGATCATCGCCAAGAAATCCAAGTTAAAAATGAATACATTCAGAATGGCTGCCTGCTGTCAGTCACATTTTTTGTTATTACGTTATGGCTGTAAAGTTTTCAAATGTGACCGCGAGGATATTCTTCCCAAATAAATGACTTCTGCTGAATAAATCCTTTAGAAAACCAGTCTTGACTACCGGCAACTGGTTCTAAAGGATGAGTTCTTTCACACTTGCAAGGGTTAAGTGCCTGCAAGGCCAAAGACACCAGACAGACTGTAAAAGAAATGTTGCCTCAGTCAGCTCTGAAAGGCTTCTAACAAGTACCAAATACTTGTTGATCTGTTCACAATAAACACCAGCAGGATTGTCAGGCTCCTTTCACTGTCTGGGGAGACGCATTTACATACTGCACCCAGTAAGAACAGCTTGTTGGTCTCCTTTATAAAAAAGTTGAGTAGCTAGAAGCCTCATTCAGTGTCTCCCGTCAAAAAATGACAGAAAGAAGATGCAATGGAAATAGTAAAGCCTCTCATCTGGCTGGGGCAGCACAAATACTGTGCACTGAAACACTTGGGAGTAGTCCAGGCACAAGACAAACCCACCTGAATGGACGGAGGAACATTGTCTGTTGCCATGGCAGCCTGATCTAATTACATGAGTGATCAGGGCCTGAGTAAGTGCACGGAAAACCTACACCCGCTGACAGGTATCCACAAGATGAGAAAGGCAGACAGGCCCAAGGTTCCGGGGAACCCTGCAACCTCTGCTTTATGTAGAAGGTGGCATTCGAGCCCATTTATCTGGGGAGCTGCTAAAATATTGACTGATGCAGGCACAGTTAGAGGGCAGTCAGAGGAGATTAAATGCCGGAGCATTAGCCGTTATGGTGCAATCCCTTTCCAGGAGTTTATGTGCAGAATTTTCTCATCCTTCTCTCTGGTAGTTTCCTCCGGCAAACGCTTCATTCCAAAAAAAAAAGATCAAGCGTCAAACTACCTTCACCTACCAAATAAACCACACGGTGGGCTCAACACAGAGGCTTCTAGGAACTGCAAGGTTCTTCAGAAACCCAAACAGAAATGGCTTAACTAATAACACTGTCGAAAAAGTAACTGGCTATGCCTAAAAATAACCATCAAGTAACTACTCACTGCTGTGTGCGATATGTAACGATGATGTTTAAATATTAAGAACAGCCTGCATTATAAAACACAAATGTCATTGAGATGTGATTACCAGATTGCCAAAGGAGAACTTATTTGCATACACACATTCCCGTGCATGGACCACAGGATGTGCACGGAGTATACCACTCTAAACCATTAGTTTTTATTCTGTGGGTGTATTAGGGTCTTCTAATTTTGCTAATTGTATCCTGTGGATCTCACAGGGAAGCTAAGAATCTCTTCGGGGACAGAACCAGTTTGGAGGAGTCCCTACTGCACAGCATACGGTAAACAAAATAAAAATAGCTTGCCGTTCTCGTTAGCCACATCTCGCATTATATAACCAGCTTCCGACTGGCTTTTTTTTTTTTTTGCCCTTACTACTCTTCAGCAATTTCCCAATCTTCCGAAGTATTTATATTACTCTCTTATCTGTAGGATTATATACTAAGAAAGAAAACAAAACAGAGCAGCCACGGGATTGAACCGAACCCCACAGTTCTTAGAAACTGATTTTTTTTTGTTTTGTTTTCTGGCAGCATCTCCAACACCACCCTACTTCCACCCCCCACCAAGGTTCTTGCTCAGTCTCCCTAGAAAACCTGAATTGTTTCATCGCTTCCAGTCAGCCCCCTACGTGGTCGGAAATGAAATGAAAGCACCAGGCACGGAGTTTAGGAAAGCGGCCTGAAGGCTGGGGGCCGAGGAGGGGTCGGGGCGCTGCAGAGTCAGCCAAGTGGCCACAGAGGGGGCCCCCTCGCCACCGCGACGGCCCCAGCCGCCCCCTCCCCCCGCGCGCGCGCGCACACACACACACACACACGCACGCACTCACTCACACTCACGCCGCGCTGCCACCGCCTCACCTCTCGCTCCGCCCGGCCGGCCCCCTTCCCTGCCCGCTGTGGGACCGGCCTGCG